ATTTGGTGGTTTTCTCGTTGGTAAACTATCTTTTGGTTTGTCGGTTAAGCAAAACAAGCAGTTTGAAAATACCACTAATATATTATTTTTTTCTATTTTCTGACATTTTTACAGTGCTAATGATGGTTGATCAGTAAATTAGTAAATAGTTTGACAAATTTGAGTTCCGACACCTGCATTCGGCAGATTTTAAGCTGCATGTGTACAATTATTTCATTCCTAACCAACCTGCGCGCCATATGTGTATACGTGAATAATACATCATTTTTTTACTCTCGTGGCACGGCCCTATAGACTTGTCATCACATTGTCGGAAAACAGCATTAAAGGAGGAAGTGTGCTAGCAATGAGGGACTGTGATATAAAGTTTGAATGTCCCCTGATGTAGAACTGAAGGGGGAAATAGATGAAAGAAATGCACCAGAGTTCTCGGTACGTCAGTCTGATGAATTCCTTCTGCCGGCCACGTCTGCTCACCTTCTGCTGCTTCTATTGCTGAACAGTGTGTGTGTGTGCGTGTGTGTGTGTGTCCTGTCTATACATGTGCTCAAGTGTGAGACATTTGTACATCTGTGAAAGTGAGTGATGAGATGCGTTTTGGTGTCATTTGTCAGCCATTCCTTGAAGTGTGAAATCAATGGAGTGTGACCAATAGCAGCACATCAAATTAGACAAAGACGGAGAAAGCATTTTCAAACACACACACACACACACACACACACACTCACACACTCTCGGCTCGCATACCTTTGTTTTGTGTTCTCATGGGCAGCGTTGGGGTCTTAGTTTGTGCTTGGTTCAACATTTTTCCCTTGAAGTTATTTCCATGGCTCCAACTACACACTCACACTCAAAATGAAAGCATATTTTCTTTGTTCTTCCCAAATGTTAGCAGAAGCGACGCCAAAATGAATTCTCTTCTCTCCTTGTGCAACCAATCCAGAATAAATATTCTAAAACCAAGCAGGAAACCAGCAGGTCTTATGCGTCAATGCCTGATGCGTACGCTTTTAAATTAATACACGTCTGTCCCGAGCAGCGTATTCAGATAAGATCAAAAGACAGGAGTTGGAATCAAAGAAGGTCCTGGAGAAAAGAGACGTGTCAATATTAATTTAGACGCCTTCAAAGTTTAGATGCCAAACTGTGCTGATTGCGATGCAGGAAAAGCCGCTGCGTGCCAACAGGTACGAAAAACGAGAAACCATCATCTCTCAGATATTTCAAAGTGGAGTCAAACATCATGTTCACACAAACGCTCCTGATTGTTTTTGAATGCGGTTTGCTGGCACGCTCCCGCTGCACATGCTGTGTAAATATGCAAAAAGATGGATGGAGAGGGTAGAAAAACGTGAAAGAATGTTTGCAGAGAGAGAGCGGAGTGGGGCAGATCGGGTTTTATTCACACTTCTACCCCTGAGACCCAGACACAAAACTATCAACCCTCCAGTGCAGCCGCCTGTGGAGAGGGGAAGACAAATTGTGTGCGCTGGTATGTGTTTATCTGTTTGTGCATATTTGGTGTCTGAACGTACTGCACCTACATGTGTGTCTGTGAGAAGTACTTTATGGGCTCAGTGTTCCAGCCTGACTTCAATGCATTTATTGGAGGAAAAAGCCACTATTTTTTTTTTCTTGAGTGTAGCGAAGCTTTCAACCCAAACAAAGAATCCTTAAAAAGATATTTTTACTAGTAAATCTATTTCCCCCAGATGTTTTCCAGAAATGCAGTTTTCATCTGTATAGCAGGCTTTTGTCAAATCAGTTGCACCGTCCTAATAGAAAGTTGCTGTTGCATGTAAGAACTAAAGACAGAAAACTGAATAACGTACTATTTGTTTGACCTTTAGATATCTGTGATAAGTGTTAAACTAAAGCTACGATCATAAACCGTAAATAAAAGATGTATGTAGCGTTGTGAATTTCTAACAGCCAGCAGGGGGCGACTCCTCTGGTTGCAGAAAGTAATACAGTTGTATAGAAAATCAGCCTACTTCTCATCTGACTTGTTACCTCAGTGAATATTTTCCAATTCCGTTTATGCTCTGAATCGTTGCTGTCGAGTCCCATTTAGAGTAATTTCTGAACTACAAGCCGCTGCTTTTTTCCACACACTTTGAACACTGCGGCGTAAACAATGACTAATTTGTGGATTTTTACAATATTTACGAATGTGTCTCGAGATGAAAGCGACATTGAGAGCAACAATGAAACTGAGGAAGTGTGTGATGAAGTAGTTCTGAGGCTGTTCAATTCTGACACTGAAGACTTTGGTGGTTTTAGTGCGCAGGAGGAAGATGAAGATAGTGATCAATGACTTTTCCTGGTAGGCTGCTGTATGTTTTATTTTCTTAACCAGTCGTGTTACAGGCACTGTTCGGAAAAAAGCATTTACGTATTTGTGTAGGTTACCAGTACGTATTTAATTAAAAGTTTAAAAAAATCTTTCTGTGTAAATGCCTCATGTTACAACGTGGACACCTGCAGCTTATAGACAAGTGCGGCCTGTATATATGTACAAATGTTTTTTCTTTTTAAAGTTAGTGGGTGTGGCTTATGTTCAGGTCAATAGTCCCAGAATTATGGTGGTCTATAAAGCAGGGTGTGCTTTAGGGCGTGGCTACTTTGTGATTGTTAAGTCGCCACCGTATTGGACCACCAAAGTTCAAACTCGAGGCTTTAACATGTTAGCCCACAAACCCATGGTTGAGGTCGAGGTGACATCTTTTATATGCAGTTGATGGCCAAGACTGTTAGGATAAAACTACAGGCAGGAAAGCTGCTGGGACAGCTAGCCTCGCTCTGTTCAAAACAAAATTAAATAAAATCTGCATCTCTAAAGCAGACTCACAAACATATGACGAGTTCATTTGCAAAAACAGATAACTGCATCTTCACAAACCTTCAGAAAACCCATTTTCCCATCCTCTACCTGAGACAATATCAATCAAGTTATCTCTGTTTTTGTCATTTCTACTGAGTCAAATCCACTCAACTTCAGTTTGATTGATTTTTATCGCAACCAAAGAACAAAAAAAAAAAGTTTTCTGAAAATCAACAAAAATTGAGTTATCTGTTTTTGCAAAAACTAATGGAAACAGATCAGATGTTGAGAGGTTGATGTTAGCTGTTGTCTTGTTGTTGGAAACCAGTGGATTGTTCTCTCTGGGTTGAAGGTGAGTTGTTGTAAAAAAAAAAAAAAAAAAATCAAGTATGAGTGACTGGTAAACAAAGTATGAGATGGACGGGGGAGTCGGTGCAGCATCGGCAGTAATGTGGGCGTTGTGCCGAGCTGTTGTGGTGAGCTGACCTGAAAACCAAAGATTTACCAACCAATCTATGTTCCAACCCTCACATGTGGTCGTGAGCTCTGGGTTGTGAGTGAGCGAATGAGGACACAAGCAGCCGACAGGAGTTTCCTCTGCAGGGTGGTTGGGTTCAGCTTTAGAGATAGACCTCCTTAAGGATATACATATGTGGAACTCCCAACTAGTCAGTCAGAACTGATGAAGCGTCTTGGATGACAGGTGAAACGTCTTCAAGGAACTCAAGCAAGTCCAGTTGTTACGATTAAACTAGGAGACTAACCATGACCTGGATGCCTGGGAACCTTCACAGACAAGATAGAGTGAGGAGCTCTGAAGGGAGCCTCGGTCAGAATCGCTTCAAAAGAATCCAGCTGAGTTGGTTCAGGCGTCTGATTAGGACGACTCCTGGACACCTTGCTTTGGAGGTTTTCCAGGCATATTACATACCTCATCTGACTTAGATATTACATATCTCACCTGACTTAGGAATGTCTTGGGATCCCCCAGGACGAGCTGGAAAGCCTTGGTGGGAAGAAGGACGTCTGGAATGATCTGCTTAGTCTGCTGCCACCGTGACACCAGATAAGCAGAAGATGATGGATGGATGGAAGACTAACCAGTTAATCCTCTGCAGTCCATTAGCTTAGCTTAGCGCAGAAGGTTACTCTGCTTGGTCACACATTCAACTCTTAAGCAAAGAGCATGAGGTAGGTAAACTTTTGGACCCAAAACTTGTAATTTAGTCCCCAAAATATTCCTTTAGTGCAGGCTAGCATACAGAATCTGTTCAGTGTTTGCAATAAAGCCTGTGATGGACTGCAGCTGTTCTTATTGCTTTCTAATGAATACTTTGTGGACCATTAAATGAGTTTAATTTTAAACACTAGTTTTGTGGAGAAAAATATGAGATTCCAAATTGACCTTGAGTGTTATTACAGTAAGTAGCTCACTGAACACAATAAAGTTTATTTGCAATTTTTTTTTGTTTGTTTTTGTGGGACTGACATTTGAGGAAATTCAGCAGAAGGCCAACAGCATCCAGTTCAGCCTCTGCAGCGAGTAGAAAAGAAAGTCGTTTGGAGAGGAATGCTCTGAATGTAATTTCTTTCAATTAGGTCTGCTAACTGCTCCGGTGGGTTTGATTTAATGTCAAACCACAGTGGATTGTTTGAAGACACGCTGGAAGTACAGAAGGCACAGAGGTTACGGGGAGGAGCTGAGACAGGAATGCAGGGAGAAAAGCTAGGGAAATTAGGTAAAAGAGAAGAAAAAAAAAACGGAAAAACAAACAGAAGACAGTGAAGGAGAACGGATGAAGGAACGACATGAGGAGGGGCTGCTGAGAGATCACAGGACAGAGAGCTTCTTTGACAGCTAATGTGACATGCGTGACACTGGTTTAGCCTGAAGCAACATTCCCAGGTCAGAGCTGTGTGTGTGTTTGCAAAGAAAAATAAAGAGATCACAGAGATGTTCTCTGTTGGCTTTCACCATCACATGATGCCGCCTGCTGTCACACTTATCAAGACCACACGCGCAAACACACACAAACACACACACAACACACACACAGAGTACAGTCAGACCAATAACAGGCAAACTTAAATGTCGTAATTAAGAATTGACTGTGTGTCCGATCACGTAATGGCTGGAAAATCACTGCTTTTCTTAAAAAAAAGACACACAAACGACTACTTTCTTATATTTCAATTTATTTATTACACTCGATGAAAAAAACAACAACCCCTACCTCTTGTGATACCAGCTGAGGCAATGAGTCCCATTAAAATAATGAGGCACAAACACAGTCACACAACAAGACCTCACTAACAGGCCCGAACAGTATAATACAGCAGCTGACGGCCACGCAGCTGAAAACACACCACGTCAGTAGTTCAGTAACTAGTGGGGAAAACACACAGAGACGATGCATTCGAAAGTATTAATGTGATAAAGTATGCAGAAGCACGCAAAATGCTCGACACATACGTACATTTTACACACAAAAACAAGAGCATTAGTTGCTTTTGAATCTTTTCCAAGCTGCTGCAGTGTGTATGAGCAACACGTAACGACACAGCGCAACACACACAAATATTGTCCATAAAATGCAGAGCTTAGCACGAGATTCATAGCGTCAAAGTAACATTCATGATCCAGGCTGCGAAGCCTGACAGGCTGTCTTTGGTAATCGACCCTTAACCCCCAATTTAGCATAACGCCGCTGAACTTCGCCCCCCACTCAGTTCTCCACATTTGATGTTATTTACACCTGTTTGCCTTTTTTTCTCTCTTCACACATCTCACACTTGTTGTACAGCTTATTGAAGTGCACCGGCGCTCATGTCTCCTCGGACAGGGAGTATGTGCAGCGCTCGGGTTGGAATGAGTTTCTGTGAGGGCAGATTTCCAAAAAGCACATCTGCAAAGAGTTGAAGGACACTTCATATGATGTAGATGAGGCTGAAAAGGGGCCTCATCCTCTTTAAGTCATACATCAAAAAAAAAAACATTGTTGGGTTTTTCTTTTTTTTTTTGTCCCCATATCTCTTTTCTCACTTCCAGGCCTCTCTTCAGGCCGTGGTGGATTTGTTGGTCAGGCGGGAGTGGCTCTGTTCGGAGGCTCGGTCGGTGACTTTAAGCTTCATGCACGACTGCTTTTCGTCCATTAACATCTCCGCCGGTAGGCACCAGCAGCACAGACAGGACTGGAGAGGAAAGAGAAGTGATGGGGGGAAAGTGAGACAAACGAAGCGACAAAAGAAAAAAACCTAATTCTCTTGTTCTCTTTATCCTCTTATTCATTTTTTTAAATTTTACTTATTAGAATGGGTGGTTCTCAGCTTATCCTTGATACTTTGGGGATGTTGTTAACCTGATCTTGCCAATAAAGCATGCTGAGTAGCTTTTATTTTTAACGCAGAAGCTGTCCAGTTTAGTCGCTTATGTTCGGCAGAGCTAGTATTCGACCCTTTTGTTTGCTTGTTGACCAATTTTCGATTTTCTGATCTACTTTTGCAATTAGTAGCATTGTTTTCTCCCTTTTTAAAAAAAAAACAGATTCCAAATAAAGAAATATTAAAATGTGCCATTCTGTTCTGGTACAGCCGCCTCTCTGTCTGTAGTCACAACTCTGTGGTCTTAAAAATGTCCTGCCTGCAGCACTTTCTGATTGGTCACATGTCAGGAGTAATAAGTCTGTCAACACCGAAGGAGAAATCTTGTAAAGTTTCTTTTATTTGAATACGTGTCAAACATAAATAAATAAAGCATTTCAATGAGGTTTTGTGTTGGAGTTTGTGTTTTCGAGACATAAATTTTAATTTTTACTGCAAACGCATGTTGGTCACCAGTCAGGTTATTAATAGTCGGTGTATAATCCACTCTCATGCCTGGGAAGCTGGTTAGCTTAGCACAGGAAATTATGTAGAGTTTCTCATCAAGAAAGCGCACGTTTACCAAACTATTGAGCTCATCCCCTGAAAGCGAGTTGCATCTTACCCTGAAGCAGTTCTTGAAGCGCTTGCTGACCATGTAGAGGGCGATGGGGTTGATGCACGAATTGATCGACGCCATGTTGATGCCGATGTAGTCCAACACCAGAAAGAAGCTGAAAGGGTTACAGAGACATATCAGCAATTCACATCTTCTTCCCTGAGCCACTTTCCTACTAAGTGATCTTGTAAACTGTGACATATGTCTGTCCTGCCGTACCTGAGCAGTTCGCAGCGGTTTGGGTCTTTCTCGTCGTAGATGGTGAGCTTGAGGATACGGCTGAGGTGGAGAGGCAGCCAGCACAGAGCGAAGACCAGAACCAGACAAAACACTGTCTTAGCCACTTCCCTCCGCTGAACGAGGACAAACACACATAAATCACAGAAATAGCTGCGGTCAGAATTCGCCCATAAACGAGCTATACATCATTGGAGACATATGTGTACCCTAAAACTCAAAAGATCTGTCATCATAAATGTCATTAGATTAAGTGGAGAGTGCGAGCTTCAAATTAGGCTGATTTAAAGTTGGTTGCTGAACAGAATGACTGTAGTTTTGTTTTGCTGTGATAGGACTTTCCTGTGCATCTGTGTAAATGTGCAGATGGTGTTGTGTCAAGATCTGAATACAAAAGACTCCTTTAGTTCAGTTCTTTGCTACAAAAGCTGGAAAATTTGACTTTAACTCTAAATCCATAATATGCTCATAGTCAGTAATCAATTGCAAATCGGTTTGTTACAGTGACAGCTGTAGTCTAACCTGCTTGAGATGGTCGCTGAGAGCAATCTGCACGCCGTTCTTCTTCCTCAGCATCTCACAGGTCATCAGCGTGTAGAAAATAGCAGTGCAGGCCAACGGCAGGCAGAAATAGGCACCGAACAGCCACCAGTCCTTCGCTGATTTGTAAAACTACACAAACAAAACAGGAGAGCAGCTTTGGATTATGCACAAACATCTGCGCTGGAGAGCCTGAGTTAAAGGTGAAGCATGTCAGCAGCAGATTTAAAGTGTATCCGCAGCCTGACCTGGAGACGGCAAACGTCTGTTTCAAGTTGTTGTTGACGTGCTTTCAGAAAACAGTTCATCAAAAGAGCTCAGTGGAATTAAAACGGCTCATTTTTGTTATTTGAGCTGGACTGGAAGATACTTGAACACAGACATATTTGTATTCACTCATGCAGGCACTGCGGTACTTTCGGTCACCCAGGAGAGACGTAGTCGAGCTCTTGTGATTTATTTTTTTTTCTTTTTGCCAGTGTTCCATTCTCCGTAAACTCTGTCTCACCCCTAAAGTGTGCATATAGAATATATCTTCACATCCGGTGTTCGTAGTTGCACCTCCGTGTGTCTGCGCATGTCAGTATTTATTATATGTCCATGTGCATGTTTGTAGCGTGCACAGCTGTGTCAACACACTATTTTTCTGCACTCTGAAATACTGGCCTCTGAAGGCCGGTGATTTGTTGCAGCTCACCCTCATGAATTCGGTTTTCTGCATCGGGTGCAGCAAGCAGATTCTCAGGTGTTCTCCTTTGTAGTCCATTGTGATCATGTCGAAGGCTATTGCCTCTGGCACTGCCAGGATGATGGATAATATCCAGATGAGTGCAATCTCGATAGCCATCCATTTTGGAACTCCGATCCCTTTGATACGACTCCAAGAGGCCACGGCGCGATACCTGAAAGATCCGTCACGTGTGAACTTCATAATTCAGCAAATTAGTTCAAGAAGCAGTTTGACATGTTGGGAAATATTCACTGTGACACTGAGAATTCACTGAAAAAGATGGTTATGGCAGGTTCATATGCTAGAGATGCTAAATCAAGCTAACTACTGGAGCATTGAGTTAGTTTTCCTAATTTAGCATCTCTAAACCATAATGTGCTGCTGCTGCTGTTACACTTCAGTTTTTGCTGTAATTAAACGAACAAGGTACATTCTGTGATTTCTTTTTAGACTTCGGACAGAGCCACATTGTTTAGCCCTGCTCCCAGTGTTTGTGCTAAGCTAACACAAGCTAATACTATCGCTAATAATGCTAAGCTAATATGGACACAAAAGAGACATAAATTTTCTAAGTGTATTCTCCAAATTGTCAAAGTTTTTCTCTACGATTTAGTATACATTTAACCCTAAGGGTAGGTTTCAAACATTTAACCATTAAGTTGGGAAATGTTGAGTGTTCTTGCATTGTGGTTACTTTTTATGCACCAGTTTGCGTCCCCCTAAAATCTACGTCTATAAATTTAAAATCATGTTAAAAACCTGAACAGACTTTTTGTCTTGATCTAATAAAAAAAACAACAAAAAAAAACAAACAACTGGTAAAACTTTTGTTGTTGTTTTTTAACCCTGTAAGTCTATGCAGGTCAACAGTAGCACATGAACATTTTGAATATGAGTGTAGTTCAGAATATGGTCGTCAGTAAAGCGAAAAACAGTCGGTGGTGGTGAAGTCAAATGTCAGGTCAAAGGTTATTCCTCTGACATTGTTTCTCGACTCTCTAGCTACACTTTGAGGAGATGAAAGAAGAAGCGAACATGACAGGAAGTGTGAGTTTGGACTGTTGTTGGCTGTTTACCTGTCGATGCTCAAAGCGCACAGACTCAACACTGTGATCCCCACCGAGGATTTCTGGACGAACGGCACCAGCTTGCACAGAGTCACGCCGAACGGCCAGTCCTCCGCCAGGAGCTGCAGAGAGAGACGGCAACAGACAGAGCTGATGACGGAGTTAAACCACGGTAGGAAGTGAAGCAAATTGTCTGGCTCCACAATCTGTTTCTCAGCCTCAGGCATCCAGCGCAGACCAGATATGCATGAACCTGAACTTATCGGTTCCTGTGAACATCCAGAGCTGTTTTTTTTTCTCTCCTTCTTGTCAAGTTGAACATTTTGGGCTTTTCTTTAAAAACACAGAGGGGCCTCTGTGCCTCTGTTTGACCTCCAGGCGTTGTAACCCACTGAGGTAGCTCCTATGGAGAATAGGTAAGCTATGCGAAACCTGTATAATATGGGATTTTTCATGCTGTCTTCGGATGGACTGGAATGTGGGTGGAAATCTATTTAAATCATATGTGACCCTGTAACGCTCCACACCACCCGGGTCCGTCCTGTCTCTTTTCTGGTATGTAACTGTGACCAGTTGTTTTAGCATGCTTGCCCCCTTACCCAAATATACTCTGTTCTCTCTCTCTCGCTCGCACAAAATGAGCCCAACAGATAATAACATGCCAGAGACATAAGGGGATATAGAGGGGCTCAGAATCCAGCAAAGTAATAACAGTTAAATCTGCTCCAGAGCCTCCTTTCAGGAGTGTGTCGGTGAGTGTGAGGGATGGTGTGTGTTTAAAGTCCTGTGTGAAGCAAAATACGTGTATAGGACCTGACAAATAGTGTAATAAACTTTATAGGGAGTTAACTACAAGTATGACCTGAAGAGCAAAGGGAGTTTTGCATTGTTGCCGGGCCTTTATGGTGTAAACCTTTTGATTAACGACACTCTGCCTCACCTTGTAAACATTAATGGGAATGCCGATGATGATATGCAGCAGGTCTCCGAGTGCCAGGCTGGCGATCAGTATGTTCGGCCCGTTTCTCATGCATTTATTCTTATAGATGATCCTCAGAAGGGTGGAATTGCCGATAATACCGACGACAAACACCAGGCAGGACACCACCGTGTTGATGTACTTGAAGGTGTCTCGGATCTCCGTGGGCCCGGTGCACATGGGAGGCAGGCGACGGCGGGGCATGGTGATGTTGGGCCTCATCGGACCCTGAACGTCCCTCTCCACCAGCCCGAGTCTCTGGGTGGCCGTCAGAGGGTTCTGGGGAACTTGTTTCTTCGGCTCCAGCTGCCCGCTGGACACGAGTACGTGAGCCGCCAAGAGGAGTAACTCCAAGCAGAGGAGGCGAGTCTTCATCCTGGAGTTTGATTGTGAATATGGCTTTTATCCAACAAAGCGTCCTGCTAGTTCCCTCTTTAATGGGCCTGGAACACAAATTGCAGGAAAGTGACTGCAGGAATATTATTACCACATGAAACCAAACAACCTGGCTGTGTATGTGGCTGCTGCTGCTGCACACTACGGTTCATTGTGGCCTCCAGCGTTTATTATGACTTCAGCTCACTTAGCTGTCAGTCATCTTTATATAAACGGACTCAAAACTCACCAGAATCACGCATCCACCATCACAGCCAATTCTACATTAGTGTTGGGGCTGTATGAAAATAATCAGAGGAATAGGAGAAGGCTGTGAGGGTCAGAAAAGTGGGAAACCATTAAAACGTTGTTTTTTTTTTAGCCAGAGGTGAGCGTCTTTTTACTTTTAGGCGTCTTTGGCAACTCACTTTGGAAAAATGTTAAAGTCTCCTTCCGCTCAAAAATGTGTTTTGGTCAAAGTTGCCTCTCTTGAATGTTTAAGAAGAAGAAAACTGTTCAACAGGATTTGTGATGTTGGAAATAATCCCGACATGTATGGTTTCTGACTGAGGGAAGAAATGTAGACAGTGTAATCTGATTAATAAAAGAGCATATCAGGCAAAATTATAATTCAAATTATTCCTCAGGGGAGAGTGTTTTGCATAAATACATACTGAACATGCCTGGAGGGGATCTCTATGGGTTAAACTGGCACGCAAACAAGTCGTGCCAGTTTATATTATATAATTCTGATATGTTAAGGAGACTTTCAAGGAGAGGAATCAAAGAAGACATTGAAAACTTTGCAGAACTTTTTCTTTCTTTTTCTTGTTTAACATACTAAAACACAATAAACTCCCTGAATCAGTCTCCAGTCACGCCCTCTGCAAGACTTACCGAGCTCCAAACAGAGGTAGAAATCCTCCAGTATTCGTGCCTCTGAGATCAAAGTTCCCCCGTAACTCTCGGGTGCTCAGGACAGTAAAAGACTCCCAAAGCAGAGGGATGTTGCTCCAGCAGTAGGGCTCCAGTCATCTCCACCAGCAGCCGTCCGCTCTGTCATTGGTGCCAAAGTTTTCTTTTCAAAAAGAAAAAAAATAAAAATCTCCAGGTCTTGTGAACCAGAGCTGCTCTGGAAGTTCACTCCTCTCCAGCACTGACTGCTCAGCCTCAGTGTTCGCAGTCTCAAGAGCCTGCAGAGATCCCTGCCCTCCAAGCCCTCCTCTTTTTAAGGAGGAGGAGGAGGAGGACAGATGAAGGCAGGATGTTCACAAGTTATTCAGCGCTCATCAAGGCGCTGCTCTCATTTTAATGGCAAACGGGGGAAAACACATAAAGCATTTGACGTTTGTGGCTCAGTGATGAGTTAATCGGGCCTTATTTTGTGTTGACATTGTTCTTAACCGTTCCTTCATTGCAGCTTCATTTGCTCTGTCCTGCTCTTTTGTAAATATCCAAACACAACGCAGTCATCAGCCCCCGACGTTGAGTCATTTCCGGTAATTCACAACCACAACAATCGCGTCACCTGGATGTTTTCAGAGGATCAGCGTGCAGGCCGTGTTTCCTGAGCTGTTACTCACTGTGGGAAGAAACAACAACAAGACGAAGATGCACGAGATGTCAGCTCCTGCCAGAACTGTGCACGAGATGGAAGACACACAAGATGGCACAATAACTTATTACTAAAGAAAAGCACTTTAAAAAAGTTTAAAGTGGAAGACCAACAGCTTGCAGCGTGTTACTGTAATGTTCAAAAACTGTAAGACAAACAAACAAAGGGTGAAAATAACAGCAAAAACTACATATTTTCCAGCTTTGAATACAGTAAAAGTAATGTACTCTTATGTGTAATTTTACAGTCAAATCTGAAATGAAGCATTGCTATTTGATAAAAGATTATTGTTATTGACATTACTTGGCTGTTTTTTGTTGTTGTTTTATTACAGGCAACATGTAAATACACACTTTTTCTTCTACTGTTTTATAAAATATCATCTGTATTTTAACAAAGCGAGCAAAATCTGTAAAGTAACAGCTGAAGAAATGTTTTGCCATTTATTAATCCTTAATACAGCAACACATTTCTGCTGATTTAAATGCAGTCAGTGTTGTTCTATGGTCACGTATTAGTATTTGTGAAAACACATACTTTTAATGTGGACATTGTGCACAGTTGTGGTCGGTTCGGTTTGACATTCAACATGTGAATTATTACATGTTTCTATGATTTTACATCTGTAGTTTAACAAAACAGGCAAAATCTGTAAAACAACAGTTAAAAAAAGGATTTATCATATTTCAGTCCTTAATATACATATTTTTTCTTTCAAATAACAGCAAATATCTGTACAAAAAATGCATTTTTTGCCAATTTTAATACAGCAAAAAAGTGTCACTTTACAGTCAACATTATAAACGTATTAATTAAGATTTGTAAAAACAGATTTTTAATGCGCTTGTTATTTAAAGTTGATGCCAGTTTGTTTTTTTTGTTACAGTCAACATGTAAATTAACTATCTTTTTCTGTGATTTTACAAGAAACCAACTGTAATTTAATGAAACAGACAAAATCTGTAGAATTTTTTTTTTACATTTAAAAAAAAATAATTTTCCAATCCCAGTGAACGTGTAAATTAACATTTCTTCCTGTGATCTAACAAAACAGGGAAATTGCTGCAAAAAAAAAAACAGTAAATACTTTTTAAAAAATGTTAAAAACTGTTTTTAAAAAATACTTCACAGTGTATTTCTAAACATACCATCCACAATTGTTGCTACTATAGTTTTGTGCACTAATGGCACATGATCCCATTAGCTCCTAGGGTTGTTTGTACTCGTTGTAGACTTAGACTGACTTTATTAATCCCAGAGGGAATTCTGTACAGTTTTTACAGTGATTCTTTATTCTAAATGTCGATGTCAGCCCATGTGCATTTGTTTTGGGGTTTTTCTTTCACTCCTCTGACAGATAAATGTGCCACAAGTGACTCCTCTGTCACCGTTTCACTTCTTGTGCTGTAAAAACACGTTTCTGGCTGCTCACTGTACAGACACAATGACGCACTATGTAAAATGTGGTGTACATGACAGTAAACGCCAACAGTCTCTCCTCATCTTTTTCACCCCGTGATATTTAAACTTCTGTCATCGTACTGATATTTTCATATTTCTCCTCTCTGCTGTGTGGACCACACCTGAACTGGACCCGAGAGGCGCTCAGATTTTCTGAGAAGGTTCTCACTCTGAGGCCAGATTGCAGCCGGCACCAGATGTGGTTCTCTGCTGACACATTACATCTCAGAGGAGCCTTCAGAACTTTTTCTGGGTGTTTTGTTTTTTCTTCTTCTTGGTTTTGTTAGGATATGGTTCTTTCCACCAAAACCACCTTGGCGAGGTCACCACAGCTACTTTATTTTTATGCGTCACCATAATTTAGATAAGTGTGCGCAGACTTCTCAGCTCAAGATGAGAAGTTTTTTCTTAATTTTTTCCAAATGAATACTAATTAAATCCCGTGTTGTTCATAAGTTAACCTGCAGGGATTTGAAAATGTACTTCAGATGTCATGTAGAACCCAAACAATTTCTACAATAGGTTTGGTTTGTGTTGTTTGTTTGTGGCACAGTGAAAAGACAAAGGTGTTTGGGCTGAGAAAAGTGCCCGTTGAAAAGGTGACACATGTGCAATGATCATTTTTACACTTTATTTTCTGCACTAGTTGGTTTCACTTTTCTTCATGCATACTTCAGGTAAGATGACCCAGTACAGATCTGCATGAACATTTCTAGTTGAAACACACGGTAACTCATCCTCGTACGATAAAACGTGAAGCGTCTCCATGTTTCCAGGTCAGTGCTGAAGCTTTGTTTGGGTAACAGATAGGCCAAGATGCCAGCAAATTAAAATATTTCATAGAGGCAACTGAAGGCCTCTAACTGGAAACATCTGGGAACTAGATGGGTGTTAATGTGAACAGTCAGCTAACTGCACATCATTTCCACCCTTTCACTAACTAGATTGCTCGTTCTCCACCCCGCCAGTGTTTTGTTGTTTGTTCAATATATAGATAACACGGCTCACCGCAGACTTCGCCTCATGGCCCATGTTGGGTTCTTCCACCAGCATTATCAGCACTTCAACATGCGCTCTTCCTCCTCTCCTGCTCACAGCTGTGTTCGTGTTTAGAGAGCGTTGCACATACCATGTGACAGCAGAGCTATCTCGATATCACGCCTCAGATGTGAGGAGCAGTAAGCGAGCCTTGTGAGCAGAGGAACAGTCCTCTGGATCAGGTTCAAGCAGCCCGAGGCAGCGAGCGTCGAACACTGGGACCCTTCACAGGACTCAGAAACTCCGGTTTGTCATGAAGGGGAAAAGTGATACGCGCATTAGCATGAATGTCAGCGGAGGCACATCAAGCTCTAAGTAAAGAAAGGAAAGACTTTGGTAAACTTAACAGGACAATGTGGACAAAAAAAAGTTGATGCACATCGAGAGCTACAAATCTCCTCCGTGGTCTTACATTTACAAGCTCAGTAACGGAGTGAGCGATGTGATTTATCTTCCACTGGTTCTGGCTCAGGTGTGGGTTGTCCACTAATCATAAGATTGAAACTCAGTAATTATATTACAGCTCTGGAGTTGACTTGCTTGCAATCTTAAGGCCAATTTATGGTTTCTGTCTGTGTCGTGCACAGAATACGTATCAGAACGTGTTCCACATCCTGGGCTCTGTTCTTGGTAAGTGGCTGGATGGAGTTTTTTTTTCGAGGTGTGCGATCGGGGTTGTTTGTCAGGTCGATAGTGCAAAAACTACCAAACTGTATTTTACAAAGCTTGGTAGAGAGGCGGAGTATGGCAACAGGAAGAACACATTAACTTTGGGTTCAGATCCAGACTGCTTTTTATTTAAGCTGTGAAATCGACCTTGTTGCACAATGCACCAAGCGTCTGTCTAGTTTGTTGCTTTTATGCCGTTCAGTCAGACACATTCAGTGTAAAGCAGCTCTTCTTGCTGTCTGGATGTTACCACTGTGTTTTCTGGTGCACTTAACATTTCTGTGTACGCATTCCCCCCCGATTAGACCTGAGCGATGAAACAGTGATGTGTAGATGCTTCAGCTGCAGTGTTTGATTGTTTCACTCAAATGCATCAGATGCAAACTGCCATCAAACAAAAATGTAAAGTTCTGTTGCATGAACAAACTCCAAGCAGGCTCCCCATCATATCAACTGATAATTGATCCTCATCGTCCTCTGTCACTCTCCTCATTGGCTTCTATGCAGGTCTCTGCAGGTGTGCTAGTCTGTGGCTGTCTGGGACTTTGGTTGCCGAAGTCTAAACCTACAGACTAAAAACAACCACAACCTTCATCCAAGTGATGTACTCCCAGCAGACTGCTCCAAGGCTGCTGGACATTGGGTGCATACATTACTCCTGGTCCAAACCAGAAAGTCTGGACTTCAGTGGATGTCTGGCAGCTTTAAGTCAGTGCACCTCCAGTATCAACCTAGTGTTCATAAAATTGCATTCATATACAACTTAAATGCATTTTCAATTACGTTTTGAGGAGAACATATTTTCTACTGATAGACTGGTGACCTGTTCAGGTGAACCTGCCTTCACCCTGAGTCAGCTGTGATAGACTCCACCCCCCACAACCCTAGTGAGGATTAAGCGGTGTCTAGATAATGGATGGATGGATGGATGGATGGATGGACATTTATAACCCAGGCAGTAACAGCTGATAGTAGCAGGTCAACCACCACAAAAAGAGCCTCAATGTGCCTTTTTGTAAACAATTGAAGAGTTCATTTGCAAAACCAGATATCTCCATTTTTGTAGATTTTCAGAAAACTTTTTTTTTTGTTGTTGTTTGCCTGAGATAATATCAGTCAAAATTAAGGTGAGTGGATTTGACTCAGTAAATGACATGACAAAAACAGAGATAACTTTAAAGTTTGACTGACATTGTCTCAGGTAGAGGATGGGAAAGTGGGTTTTCTGAAGATTATCTGTTTTTGCAAATGAACTCTTCACATGTTTTCTCTTCAACTGTGACTTCCCAACTTTATCCACCGGTAATGAACAAGCGAATAGATATCGATTGATGATGAATAATTACCTCCACAATTTCAGGTGGCTGCTTGTTAAAGCATGACGACTCTATTTATTCTGCTTCTGCACATAAT